TCTGCCTCGTCGGAGCATTCGAGGGCTGCCACGTATACATTTTTTTTGGGGGATTGGTTCGTCTTTTCGCTTTTTCCCAGCAGACAGGGCGCAGTGGCAGAAATTGAATATCGTCCTCTGGAAGATCCCGAAAGCTGGCTGGGGCGTAATATCCGCGCAGCATGGCGGTGGCGGAATGTCCCCTGTTGTTCCGCATCGCCGGCAGGCACCTTTCTGCGACACTCCTCGTCACCAGAAGCTGGATTGCCCCCCTCTGTTCTGCACTTGTTTCTATTGCCCCCTCCACCCAGCGGAGAGGCCGAGTTCCCAATTCGCTGAGGCGAAGGGGGAATTTTGAGGATGCAGCATTTCCTGCCTCCGCGGATCCGCCTTCCGCGCTGCACATCTTCCTTTCCCCCACGCGGGGACATTTCCGCTTCGAGCCATGTTCTCCTGCCCCCCCCGCCTCCGCCATTTCTTGATTCATCGTCATCAGTCTGCTTGCCTCCCTAATTTGTAATAAAGCCCCTCCAGTGCATTGTGCTGCTATCTCTGGTTGTGCATTTTACTTCACGATCGTAACTGCAAACACTGGATCTAACAGCAACCACTTTCGCGTCGCTTGCGTGTGTTTCGTTTCAGTTGCGTAACAGGGTGTTGCCTACCACTGCGTGAAACGAATCGCCCTTTTTCAAACAGTTTCCTGTTCTCTCCTTCTTATTCACGACTTCGTCACCATGGAGGCGTCAACCCGCGCCGCGCTGTCGCACGCGCTGCACCCAACCACCCTCGTATCGGCGCCCAATCTACGGAGATCGGTGCATGTGGCGGCGGCGCCACAGCCTCTACCTCCTCTCGCCGCGTCACGCTCGTCGCGCTCGTCGCGCTATTCGCGGAAGTCGTCCAAGTCAATGATGCCCGTGTCGCCGGGCCCCGGGATCGCCGCTGTCGCCGGGAAGAAGAAACGGTCGTCTCGCAACCGCGCAGCGTCGCCGCCGCCTCAAGCCATCGTGTCCGATCAATGTAAACAATTTCATTCCAGACCACTCTCGAGTTCGAGTAATTTGTCAGTTCATCGCTGCGACAATAGTTTTCCTCGCCACGCAATCTTGACGGTTGCATGTCTCTTGTCAGGTCATGCGCACGATCGCTCCTCATTCAGCTCCTTCAAGAACTTTCTGCGACGTGCTGCGATGTTGCTCTGGCCCTTTACGCCACCATGTGCGGATCTTGGCCATCTTTCCCCCGTTATACAAGCTGATAGGACTTCCCTTCTGTCACATCCCATCGCGCTCCTTTTACATTCGAATTTACAATACAGTTTTCGTCGTTTTCGTCGACCCTTCCTCTCATCCTCCGCGTTCCCCGCTTTCCGTCTTGAATTCCCGATTTATTCCCCGATAAACGCAGTCGCAGTCTCCGAGGAGACCGCATCAGCACGGACGCGCCACACGCACGCGGCGGCGGCGGCGGCGGCGGCGGAGGCGGGGACGAAGGGTGGAGCAGGTGTACGAGGAGGTGGACGGGCACATGGTGCCGGCGCGCATGCTCACGTTCACCATCGTGGGCGCGTCGGGCGACCTGGCGCGCAAGAAGATTTTCCCCGCGCTCTTCGCGCTCTACTACGAGGGGTGCCTTCCGGAGGTGAGCCAAGGGGACGTGGTGGGCAAGGGGAAAGGGGGAACGGGGAAGGGAAGGCGGGTAAAAGGGGGGAAGGGGGAAGGGGGAGGGGGAAACGGATCTGTTCGGGCCGTGTTGCCAGGGGCGTGCGGATAGGGGAAGATGAATTCAGAAGAGGAGAACGAGTTTTCGAACGGTGGCAGCGAAAGGGTGTATATTGCGCAATTCGCGCCAACGACTGCGGCCATGGTGGAAACGAACGGCGCAACTTGCTACAAGGTGTGCAAGCAAGATCGAGTACCGTGCCTGCTTTCCTTCCGCCCGGAGTGGCACAATCCTTCTGCCGATGAATGAAACTGTCCGAAGCCGAATCTAACGCCATCTCTCTCCCTCGTTTTCCCCGTCGTCGCTCACGTTCCTGATTTTTCTTTCCGCGTTTTTGTTGGCTCGTTTGCGCGCCACAGTTTGGCTCGTTTGCACGCCACAGCTCTAGCGCATCGTCAAAGGCCCACTCTCCCACACCGTTCCAGTTCCGCCCACTCTCCCACTCGATTCCGTTTCCTGTCTTGTCTTTCGTTCCTTGGTTGCGCAGCACTTTCAAATATTCGGGTACGCGCGCAGCAAGATGGACGACGCGCAGTTGCGCGAGCTCATTAGCTCCACGCTCACCTGCCGCATCGACAAGAGGTGCGTGCTCTCCGCTCTCCGCTTCCCGCTTCCCGCTTCCCGCTCTCCGCCCTCCGCGCCCCGCACGCCCGTGCCGCCAAATCCCGTCCACCACCTCCTCCGCTTTCCCTCTAACCGTGTCCGCTCCCGCCTCCCTCCATTCCTACTCTACAACCCCTCTTCCCTCCCTCCCCCTTTCTTCTCCACCCCCCACCATCCACTTCTTCCCTCCCCCCTCACTCGCCACTCTCCCCTTCTTCCCCCGCCTTTCCGACTCGTGTGAATCCTTCATCAGTTCTACTGTGGCGCATTTCCCCTGCATCCTCCACCCCCTTCCCCGTCCCCGTCCCGCAACATCCCCCCCGGCCCTTCGCGCCCGCCACTCTCTCCCTGCTTCTCCCTCCTCACCATCCGCACATTCTTTGCCCGACCCACCCAAAGTTTTCTACTAGCGCCGGTTCTCTTGCCTATCCTCCCTCGCTCCCCCAGTTCTTGCCCTCAATCTCGTTAACCTTCATCCTTTCCCTGCCTCCTTCCGCTCCCGCTCCTCCCCGCACCGCGCGCCCGTCCCCCCTCTCGCGGCGCGGAGCAGCGACGACTGCGGAGACAAGATGGACTTTTCCTGGAGCGCTGCTTCTACCACAGCGGGCAGTACGACAGCGAGGACAACTTCGCGGGGCTCGATGCGCGCATGAAGAAACTCGAGGTGCGCTCCCCATGCTGCTCATGCTCGCGTCCCTATGCTGCTGATGCCGATGCTCATGCGGACCGTTTATGCTGCATTTCGTCAGTTACTGCTACCTCGCCGTTCCCTTCCGTCGTCACTCGGCTCCCTCGTTTCCTTCTCCCTACCTTACCTCCCTCTTTCACGCATTCCCGTCGCCCTCACGCCCGTCTTTCTATCCCCCACTCCCACGCTCCTCGTTTTGCCCTTTCCCCGCAATCCTCCCCACTTCCCCCCACTTCACTTCCCCCCACTTCACTTCCCCCCACTTCACTTCCCCCACTTCACTTCCCCCACTTCACTTCCCCCCCACTTCACTTCCCCCCACTTCACTTCCCCCCACTTCACTTCCCCCCACTTCACTTCCCCCCACTTCACTTCCCCCACTTCACTTCCCCCCCACTTCACTTCCCCCCACTTCACTTCCCCCCACTTCACTTCCCCCCACTTCACTTCCCCCCACTTCACTTCCCCCCACTTCACTTCCCCCAACTTCACTTCCCCCCACTTCACTTCCCCCCACTTCACTTCCCCCAACTTCACTTCCCCCCACTTCACTCCCCCCCACACCCCATCACCCAAATCCTCCCTGCCTCCTCCCCCACGGCCCCCCTCCCCCGCCTGCCTCCCCCCCGGCACTCTTCCCCTCGTCACCAGGCGGGGTACATAGCGGACCGCATGTTCAACCTGGCCATCCCGCCCAACGTCTTCGTGCCCGCGTGCTTCAAATTGACTTAAAGCCCCCTTCTCCCGCTTTCCACCTGCTTCCCCCTCCCGTTTCCCCCTCCCGCTCCCTCCACCCCCTCCGTTCCCCTCCACCCCCCCCCAGGCGGGGTACATAGCGGACCGCATGTTCTACCTCGCCATCCCGCCCAACGTCTTCGTGCCAGCAGCGCGGTCCGTGTCGCTGGCAGCGTCGTCAGAGTCGGGGTACACGCGCGTGATCGTGGAGAAGCCGTTCGGGCGCGACAGCGAGTCCAGCGCGCTGCTCACGAAGCAGCTCGGGCAGCACTTCACTGAGGACCAGATCTACCGGTGAGGCACGGGGGGGGGGGGAGGGGAGAGGAGGGAGGGGAGGGTGGGAGAGACAATGGGGGAGCAATGGTTGGTGAGGAAGGATAGGGCTGACGGCATCTGGGACAGCACCTCATCTGAGGACCAGATTTACCGATGAGGGGGGACGGGGAGGGGATGGGGTGAACGGTGGGAAGGAGAAGGGGAGGGGGAGGGAGGAAAGGGGTTTTCTCGTGTACCCCCCCCTACCTCCCAGTTCCGACCAGCTTTCCCTGTCTGAGACCACATGGTTTGTAACTATTTTGAGGAAAGGAGAAAATCATATATTTTATGCCCTTCGTTCTTCCCCATCCAGACCCTTCATATCCTAGCATCGACCACTAACTGAGCAAGAAGCTGGTTACCTCCTCTATCTCACCACTACTGTTACCACTTACGCCCCTTCCCGCATCTCCTACCGTACGTTTTCACTCTCTCTGTCCCTCCCCCCCGCCCAGCATCGACCACTACCTGGGCAAGGAGCTGGTGGAGAACCTGCTGGTGCTGCGCTTCTCGAACCTGGTGTTTGAGCCGCTGTGGTCGCGCCAGTACATCCGCAACGTGCAGATCATCTTCCTCCGAGGACTTTGGCACCGAGGGCCGCGGCGGGTTAGTCCAGGGGCGCGTGGGGACGGGGGGTCGGGGGATGGGGGGACCGGGGTATGGGTCGATAGGGATGTGCAGATCATCTTCTCCGAGGACTTTGGCACCGAGGGCCGTGGCGGGTTAGTCAAGACAAGGCAGGGCTGGTTGGTTGGCGACAGGCGGTTTGCTGTAAGTACTGTGGATTACGAGGGGGTTGAGGACAGTTAAAATGGTTCCCCTCAACCCTTGGTTCTCCTTTCGAAAATGACTACGTCATCCTCATTCCATTTTCCCTTTTCTCGGCTTGCTCTCTGCTACTCCCATTCGTCTGCCTGTTGGCCCCCTTCCCCTCTTCCTCCCTTACCCCCTTCCCCACCGTACAGTGCCTCACTGCTTCCGCTTCCATGTGCGCCTCCCCCATCCTCTTCCCTCCTGCCCACTTCCCCCCCTCCCACCCCGCGGTGCAGCTACTTTGACCACTACGGCATCATCAGGGACATCATGCAGAACCATCTGCTGCAGATCCTCACGCTCTTCGCCATGGAGCCGCCCGTCTCGCTCTCCGCTGATGATATCATCAACGAGAAGGTGTGTGCGCCCGACGCTCCTCATGTTGAATTGAAAAGCCTCATCCTGCGCTGCCCACTCTCCTCATGCTGCCGCGCCTCCTGTGTGTCGCTTGTTGCTTCAGCTCTCTGGCTTGTTTTCTCCAGTATGGTGCGTGCATCTGTTCCCTGTTGTGTTTCCACCCACCACCCTCAACTGCATCTGTTCCCTGTTGTGTTTCCACCCACCACCCTCAACTGCATCTGTTTCCCTGTTGTGTTTCCACCCACCACCCTCAACTGCATCTGTTCCCTGTTGTGTTTCCACCCACCACCCTCAACTGCATCTGTTCCCTGTTGTGTTTCCACCCACCACCCTCAACTGCATCTGTTCCCTGTTGTGTTTCCTCCCACCACCCTCAACTCAACCCCATCTATCTTCCCTCCATGTAACCTCGTCTCTTCACCATCTCCCAAACTCTCCTCATCCTCTCCTCCATGTCTCTCCGCCTCTCCCCGCCCGCCTCGCCCTCTCTTGTGAGCAGGTGAAGGTGCTGCGGTCCATGCGGCAGGTGAAGCTGGAGGACGCTGTGGTAGCACAGTACAAGGGCCACGTCAGCAAGTCCGGCTGCAAGTGAGTGGCAGGGGGTGGTGGGGAGGGAAGGAAAGTGAGAGGGGGGGGATGGTAGGGGGGATCGCCAGCGAGCTGCCAAGGAGCTCTGATATCTGGGTTTACGATGCTCAGTTGTGTATAGGTCAGCCTTATTTTGTATCATGCCAGTCAATGCTAGTCTTGCTCCTTCTTGTTCCTGCACCAATCCCACCACCACCATCACCACCACCACCACCACCTCTGTATGAGCGCAGGTACCCGGGGTACACGGACGACCCCACAGTGCCCCCCAACAGCATCACGCCCACGTTTGCAGCAGCGGCAATGTTCATCGACAATGCGCGCTGGGATGGGGTGCCGTTCCTCATGAAGGCCGGCAAGGCCCTGCACGACCTCCGGTGAGGCGCAGGGACGGGCATGCACATGCTCACTTCCTTATCTCTCCATGGATAAGTTGATTAGCTTACGGAGGTGCATGTATGTGTGTACGTGCACATGTGTGCACATGTGTCTCTTCTGCACTTGAATCTCAACATCTGTCAGGCACAAGGGAGCCATCTTCCAAACCTTTTCTCCCACCTTCTCCCTCTCTTTTCCACCCACTCCTTTTTTCCTCTCTCTCTCTCTCTCATTTTTCCCCGTTCCCTCCACCCCTTCCCCTTCCCTCCCCTGGCAGGTGTGAGATTCGAGTGCAGTTCCGGCACGTGCCGGGCAACCTGTACCAGCACAACATGTTTGGCGTGGACGTGGACATGGCGACCAACGAGTTGGTGATTCGCCTGCAGCCCAACGAGGCCATCTACCTCAAGATCAACAACAAGGTGCCGGGCCTTGACTTCAGGCTTGACCGCTCGCGCCTCAACCTGCGATACATCGACAGGTGCGTGCCTGCGCTCTGCTCTGCTCTGCCCCTGTGTGCTGCCCTCTTTATCGTTTTTGTATATAGGGTTGTGTTTCCAAAATCCGATTAGTGCGGTTAGGGATGTTTCTGGTGTGTTGAGTTGGCTGGCAGGACAGCAATCGTAGATAGATTGATGTTGCTTCAACATATGCAGTGGCGATTAGTTTCTAATATATGCTGCGCTGTTATGTGCGGCGGTGGTATCGTGATACATGCAGGTACCAGCACGAGCTGCCTGACGCATATGAGCGGCTGCTGCTGGATGCCATGGAAGGGGACAAGCGCCTCTTTATCCGCTCCGATGAGCTGGAGGCTGCCTGGGGCATCTTCACGCCGCTGTTGCAGGACCTGGAGAAGAAGCACCTTGCTCCGGAGCTTTACCCCTATGGCAGTAGAGGCCCTATTGGGGCGCATTACTTGGCTGCTAAGCACAAAGTGCGATGGGGTGATCTTTCTTGATTGAAAGAAGTTAATCATAAAGCAGGTTAGCTGGACAGGACGGGATGTAAAAGAGGTTAAGGTAGGAGGAGCACGGGATACGTTGGGAGAGATTTAGTGTGTTAGATGTTACGGTGCAGTTGTTATTGATAATGCCAACCACAATTTCGCAATGATCTCTCGCCCTTTTACAGTGTGAAGTATCTAGTAAATCTGGTCATAACTTTTAGTTTTGTACTGTACAATACTGTACACGTGGGTGGAGAGCAGTCGTACGAATAAATGTCAACTGATTTCTCGATCACATCGAAGCATGCTGTCCTTGGCTGGATATTGAATCTCGATCGGCTCGCGCTGCGGCCACCTTGATACAAAATCAAGGTTGAGTGCACAAACACGCACCACTTGTTCTGTTACTGAATCAAGCAGTTTGCTAGAGCCGAAACTATGGAGACGCGTGGTGCCAAGCGAAAACTGGAGGCGGCCGCGGCACAAGACAGGGCTAGCAAGCGCATTCAAGTAGAAATGTCCCTTACTCAGCCATCGATTGACAAGGAAACAGAAATCGACAATAAACTTGTGGAGGCTCTGCTGCTAGACATCTCAGAAGGGAACAATGACGAAGGTAGCTAAACGTCAGCATGCTCCGTTCTTACTTCACCCGCTTCTCCTGCGTTTCTAATGTATAATTGCCTTTCCAGACGTCGAGGATTCAGATTGGTTCGGAGATGTTGATGACATGCCCGCCGATCCAAACGTACAAGAAGCCAAGGATTTGAATGCAACCTTTCAAGTGAATTACTCCAAGGTCTTTCATCATTTCTTGCGTCCAAAACTTCCGTTTCTGTTCTGGATTCCTGCATCTCACGTATATTGGTTTCATCTCTGCAGGCTTCAGTGCAATTTCACGGAGCTAACTCTCTCCACAATCATTTGGAAGAGTAAGCCTTTGAACCTCATGCCGTTCAGAAATGGGTAATGCGACTCCAAATTATTTTGATTAACGCCTGTGAAACCACTGCGCGGGTCAAGGACTTCTTGTGGAGATGGACCGTTGACTTATCTTTTTGTCACGGAGCCCACGAGTTGAGCGATTCTTGTATCACTCGGTAGATATCCACCTGAGGAGTGTTGCCGCAGCTTAATGTACATCGACCATGCTGATTCTAGAGGCCATTTCTTGTTATATGGCGTTCTGGTTATACTATTGCGTCAGTGGGTGAAACATCCAAATGATACTCTTGCACATGTGGAGGCCTGATCCCTAAAGCCGAATATTGTGTGCTGTTCCAGTAGAGCACGTTCTCAGCCACCTTCAGCTAAGAAGTCCGCATAGGAATGCACAAGGATGAAGCAATGGCGAAAGCACCTGTTTGGCGTCCTGGAGCCAATATTTCTTTCAAAACTGCTTTCATTTTACAAGGATAATGTGTATGATGGAGCTTCACAGAGGAAATTACCGTAGTTATACGGTACTCAATTCAGAGTGACCATGCATCAATCATTTACCCTTGAACCAATGGGGGTAGATATGCAGTGCAAAATGGATCACTTGGAAGGGGAATGGTCTTAGGAGGGGAAACTGGGAGCAGCGAGGAAGGAGGGGAAACTGGGAGCAGCGAGGAAGGAGGGGAAACTGGGAGCAGCGAGGAAGGAGGGGATACTGGGAGCAGCGAGGAAGGAGGGGAAACTGGGAGCAGTGAGGAAGGAGGGGAAACTGGGAGCAGTGAGGAAGGAGGGGAAACTGGGAGCATTGGGGAGGAAGTGCGTTGGAGTCAGATGTAAGTGACAAGGTGAGGGTGGGTGGTGTGGGTGGGTGGCATGCGTGGGATGCGTAATTTGGGACAGAGTGTTGTGTTGCAGGTTGGATGAATGGAGCAGGCTGGGATGGTTGGGGTTGGGTTGGGATTGTCAAAACATATATGTTCATCTCTTTCTAGGCTATGTAGGGGTTATCCTTAGAGGGTACACAACTTGCTCGACACTCTTGTACCCCACCCCCTTTGACCAAGTCCAAAACATTCCTTTCCTTGGATTCTCACCTGGTAGAGAGCGGTTAGGTTCCTGGGACCGCCGTTTAAGGACAATTTTTTCCCGAGCCCACCGTTACCACTGCCCCGTTAGCTGGCCGTGGTGCGCCCCTAGCGCGCGCCGTTTTTTCTGCCCGAAAAACGCCCCTACCGCATGCGCCTTACTGCCGGTCCCCCCCCCCCCCCCCCTTCCCTTTGCTGCCCGTCGCGCACCACTACTCCGCGTGTCGCCGCACGCCCTTGCTGCGCGCCGCTAACGCACTGCCCTGCCCCGCATGCCAGCGCGCTGCCCTGCCCTGCTCGCCTGCGCGCTGCCCTGCCCAGCGCCCCGCCGCGCTGCCCTGCCCCGCACGCCAGCGCGCTGCCCTGCCCTGCACGCCTGCGCGCTGCCCTGCCGAGCGCCCTGCTGCGCTGCCCTGGCATGCCAGCGCTCTGCCCTGCCCTGCACGACTGCACGCTGCCCTGCCCAGCGCCCCGCTGCGCTGCCCTGCCCCGCACACCAACGCGCTGCCCTGCCCTGCACGCCTACGCGCTGCCCTGCCCAGCGTGTGAAAGTTAGAACGAAGAATTCCATGTCACGAGCTCTGATACCATGTCAGAATCCCAACCACTTAGACCATTGGGATAAAATGGCTTGTTTGTATAGCGGGTTTGTGCGCCCATAACCCCCCAGGCGAACGCGCTTGTAACCCTCCTTAGGATCAATCGGGCATCCACAGTGCAGATCTACTCACACCCCCCCACACTGGGAGGCCCAGGATTGAGCACAGCGCCAACGGCCTACATGTGCATACACTGAGATTCGAACTCGAGACCGCTCTGATACCATGTGAAAGTTAGAACGAGGAATGATGGACTAGGAAGAGGACAGTACAAGATTGTATGGGCAAAACCTAACAGGGCTGTACCCCATAAAGAGTGCCCCACTACAGCCTAGAGTATAGTTCTGACACAGCGCCCTGCCGCGCTGCCCTGCCCCGTGCGCCTGAGCCGCCCCCCCCCCCCCCCCCCCCCGGCCCTGCCCAGTGCACGGTGAGCGCCCTGCTGCCAAACGTGTCCCACACGCCCTCCTCCCCTACGTGCTCGCGCTGCTGCGCGCTCCTGCCCTGCCTTGCGCACAACGCCAACTGCCGCTGCCGCCCTTGCTACCCCCTGCGCACGCTCCTACAGCTGCTACTGCTACTGCTCCTACCATTGTTGCCACTGCACCTACCGTTCCAGCTACCGCCGCTGCAGTCGCTACTGCAGCCCTTGTGCCGATGCTGCTGACTGACACTGCCTACCATGACCACTATCACTGTCCTACGTCAGCGGCAGCCGAGTGTGCAGGAGTCTCTCTCGCTGCAGCAGCTTCGCGAGTGGGCTATCTGGTGGGGCAGCCCCGGTGGCGGAGCTAGCCGTGCTTGTCGGCGGAAGCTGCTTTCGCCACAGCAGCGTCGTGAGTGGGCTGTCCGGTGGGGCAGCCCCGGTAGAGGGGCTTGGGGTACTAGTGCTGGGGGTGTAGAGGCACCTAGTGGTGTAGAGGCTACTAGTCTAGGTGCTTGTGACTCAGCTAGCACAGGTGCAGAGCCAGAGGAGGCCTTGCACACTTTCACTCTAGACTCAGGCGTGCCTCGCTGCTTCTTCCGCAACAGCACCACAGTCACACCGCTCACAGTCCTGGCTCCTGTCACTCTGGCTGACCCCGCTGGTGGCTCCGTCGTTGCACGGGGCTCCACTGTTCTCCCGAGTCCGGAAGTCCTCTCAGAGCTCCACCTCCCCTCGTTCGCTAAGAACCTGGTGGTTACCTCTGTCCTCCAGGACCAGTTTGTCACTGTGCCTACTTTTGGAGGAGAGCTTGTGGCGATCTGTACGGACTCCCGCACTGGTGAGCACCTCGCCATGTTCACTCGGAGACCCGGGTCTGGTCTGTACACACTGACTACTGAGTCTGTACTGGTGGCTCAGTCAGGTCAGGTAGCTGCGTCGGTAGAGGTCGCTGCGTCTTGTTCGTGTCGTCTCCTCACACACCAGACTCTCCTCTGGCACCACCGTCTTGGCCACCCCACTTTGCCACGCCTGCGTGGCATGCACTCCCGTCTCCTTCTGTCTGGTCTCTCCAAGTCCTTGCCCCCACTTTCGAGGTTGCTTGCACCGCCCTGCCTTCCCTGCGTCGAGGGGCGGCAGCGCGCCGCTCCTCACTCCTCCTCGTTTCCTCCTACCATTGCTCCTTAGCAGACCCTCCACATGGACATGAAGGGCCCCGCCCGCGTCACTGGACAGGGTGGCGAGCGCTACTTTTTGCTCATTGTCGACGACTACACGCGCTACACCACAGTCTTCCCCTTGCAGAGCAAGGCGGATGTCCGCGGTGTCTTGATCTGCTAGATCCGCGCTGTCCGTCTTGAGCTTAGCACTTGGTTCCGCCAGAACCTTCCTGTCTAGCGGCTGCACTCTGACCGAGGTGGTGAGTTTTCCTCCCGTCTTTTCGAGGACTTCTGTGGTGCTGAGGGCATCTGCCATTTGTTCACGCTTACGGCCTCTCCAGAGCAGAATGGGATTTCAGAGCGCCGCAACGGCTTGATTATGGAGGTTGCTCGCACCTCCATGATTCATGCGGCTGCTCCCCATTTTCTATGGTCGTTTGCGGTCCGATACGCCGCGCATCAGCTCAACCTCTGGCCCCGTGTCTCCGTGCCGGAGACCTCGCCTACACTGCGTTGGACGGGGAAGGTTGACGATGTGTCGGACTTTCCGGTCTGGGGTTCCCTCTCTCTAGTCCACGATTTGCTCGCGGGCAAGCTCTCTCCACGCACTCTTCGGTGCGTGTTCCTTAACTTTCCCACCGACGCACCGCCCTGGCAGTTTTACCACCCGGGCTCTCGTTGTGTGATGTCCTCCTGCGATGTCACTTTTGACGAGTCATTCTGCTACTGCCGTCTTCACCCCCACCGCAGTTCCCCGGTACCCCTCCTGTCGCTTTCCCTGGTTGTCGATCCCCCCCCGGTAGCC